AAAAAAAAATTGAAAGGAGCTAACCAAAGGCTGATTTGTTCTCGATGATTCTATATTCTTGGGTTGGAGCATCAAATTTCTTCGTGTCAGAAAGAATCTCTTCAAGAGCTTTCATGGAGTTGAATGCAGGAGGAGCGCAGGGCGAAGGAGTAGCAGGAGATGGGACCATCTCATCGTCAGACACTGTAAAGTTTTCAATTTGAGAAGAAATTAATGAATAGCATTAATTAGCACGAATGGTGCTTGCAACAAATTGTTTCGAAGACCTCGGAGCGACCACCAAAATATGGAATCAGCCACATCTACGGTTAGTACGCTTCGAAGCTTTATACAGTTTTTCTAATAACTTCCTTAGTAGAATTCGGAAAGTGTAGCACATACCTAATTCAATCAGTTTGTTTTTCTCATACTTCCAAATAGTTCAAAAAACGGATGTGGGATATCATAACCATCTACTCACAATTAACGAACAAAATGGGAGAGTTCAAGCACTAATAAAGAATAATTAAACCAAAAACTGAACAATCCCTCGTGGATGGTCTACCGTCTATCATGGCGCAGGTCGACTTTGAATGTCGAGCTGTGAAATACAGCAAAGGTTTATCCTTCAGCAGGGTCTCCCAAGCTAAGAAGGAGTTCGATATTTCCAATTCTCCGGGTGCTCAGCTAAAAATGGCCCTGCCAGAACTGCCACCGTCTGGCTGAATTAGTCGCTAGGTAACTCCATGATCCACATAGGCCAGCGTTCGCCTGTGTGGAAGCTTGGCACACCTCGGCAAGACTGCTAGAGGAGAAATTCTGTTGCCTTTAAAGCTTGTAAGAGAAAAAATCCCTGTACACTGGATCACATCTCCGGCTTCGATATCATCAAAAAGTGTCAGGTTTCACAGGACGCCATGGATTTTGTACCAAAAGAACATGACAACGACTCGGCATGCAGAATGTCTCATTCTCTGCACCTAGAACACAGGACAGTCTTCACCAACGCCAATCTTCACGCCCTTCTTGAAGCTGCAGGGTGCATTGACTAACATGTAATCACCTTGCAGGAAACAAAGTCCAAGAAAAGGGATGTGAGGCAGCTGATTGATACCATTCGTGGTGAGAAAGTCCATAACGGAATGCTGGAGGCGCTGGAATTGCCATGCGCCCATCTGTGCAGATGATGACGGGATTAGATGCTTTTAGGAAGTTCGCGTAGAGAATTCCTTCTATAAAAATCTGTCGGGTGGCCTCAATGCGAAACGAGATGCCAAAAGAAGGGGAGCATAGGATCAGGAGATTTGGAACAGGACAGGAGATTGGATCCTTCTGCTCTTATCCGCCGCTGATTTTACTGTCCATCTTCATGGAGAAAGAACAGAGGCGGTGGACATGGCGTTTAACGGTACGATTAATGCGAAGATCAACCATATTCTCCCAACCAGTGGTGCTTACTGGACGTCTCAGTGGTACCATCCTTCAGCAGTAGTTATCACCGTCTCCATCGAGAGCTGGAAAAGAGGATCTGTCACCATGTTGGAGGAAAGAGAGAAGTCGTACAAGACGACGTCAGATTGGAGGAGCTCTTGATCACTTGTGACTAGTCCATTGAGGAGGACCCGACGAAAGACTACGACCTGTTTCTCAGAGGACTGAGAGCCTGTGGTGAAAGTGCCTATCACCTTGCCTGGCTGTCCTTCGACTCCATCCTCTGCGTCAGAAAACTATTAA